ACACCAAGGTCAGTGCAGAAGGAGGGGCAGGAGGTGCTCCAGGCACCAGAGCTGAGGTCTCTGCAGCCCGTGGTGCAGACCATGGTGGAGCAGCTGTGCCCCTGCAACCTGCAGAGGACACAGAGGGTGCAGAGACCCACCTGCAGCCCATGGAGGAGCCCATGCTGGAGCAGGTGGATGCCTGAAAGAAGCTGTGACCCCAAGGGAGGCCCAGGATGGAGTGGGGTCCTGCTGGAGACCTGCAACCCGTGGAGAGGGAAGCCCACGCTGGAGCAGGTTTTTCCCAGGTAGGACTTGTGGCCCCTGTGGGGGACCCATGTCCATACAGCTCATTCATGAAGGACTGCTCCTCATGCAGGAGTGACCCACGGGACAGCAGTTTGGGAAGAACTGCTGCCTGAGGGATGGACTCACATTGGAGAGGTCCATCAAGGACTGTCTCCCATGGGAGGGACCCCACGGGAGCAGGGGAAGGACTCCTCTCCCTGAGCAGCAGCAGAAACAACAACTGACCATAACCTCCATTCCCCGTCCCCTTGCACCACTGGGGGGGAGGAGAGAGAACATGGAAGGAAGGAGGGGTGGGGGAAAGGTGTTTTTAAGACTGTTTTTTTCTCTCAGCTCTTATCGCTACTCATGAATTCTTAGCTGTTTTTTTTTTTCTCTCTCTTCTCTATCCAGTTGCAGAGGGAGAGTGAGAGAGTAGCTTTAGTGGGTACCTGGTGTCTGGCCAGGGTCAACTCCCTACAGTATATATTCCTGAATGGTCCACAAAGGACAGAAATGAATACCACCAGCAAGCACAGTTCAGTCATGAATACCACTGCAATTCCAGTTCAGTCAAGGCAGAAGAAACTTGTAAAGGTTCTATATGTATGAAATGAAAGAGTATGGTGTGCTCTTATTTCATCTTCTTCAAATTATAAACTGTTGCTGAATAAAGCAAAATAAAGCCTGCATAGTTGTCATCAATCACCCTGTTATACTCTGAACTCTTTCTGATTTGCAGAGAGTGCTGGAGGAATTGAAAGCTGTGATCTTTCATGGGTGCTGCTCAGATGACATTACATTATGTCATTCTGTTATACTAGAGAACCTCACTCAGTGAGGCCTTGCATCTCAATTTCCTCTATCCTTTCTGTCTTGTGGAAACTAGGGCCCAGTCTGTATCTTATCCCTTTCTAGTTACTTATAGCTTTGCGAACTGTCAATTCTGAAATATTACAGCTGAGAAATTTGCTTTAATAAGAATGTATTTAGTGAATTTACTTAGAAAATTGGAAAAAACCATGTTCAGATGTTTCTAACAACAGGAGAAATATGTATTGTCTATGTTAGAAACAAAATCCTACCACTGCAAAAATAGGAAATCATAGGGCATCTGTTCCTTGGAGCACTGGTCTTTGTATTTAAGAAGTGAGGGTTTTGCTATTTCTTTGAAAGACTAGAGATTTCTCTACAACCTTGGATTACATGTGCTCAGTAAATGAGAGCTGCAGCACTCCAGCAGTCTGGTGCAGACATTCCCAAACAAGATACTAGTGACTTAGGCTCAGAATTCTGAGTGCACAGCCCAGTTGGCAAGACATGATGTTCAGGCTGGCTGAGCTGGTGGGTAACCCATGCTGATCTGGCCAAATGAGTCTCTCTGCCAAGAACTGCCAACACACCACCTCCTTGCACTCTTTATCTCACTTCTTGAACTTGTTTCCGAATCCATGCACTTGGAATTATGATTCAGTGCAGGAATATCTAGCGCAGTACCAATGTGGACTCACTTGGAAATTTTTGGCAGCTATGCTCTTTCCTTTATACAGAGAAGCATCCTCTTCCAGCCCCGGGGAAAGTGTCTCTATGCTCACAATGTCCTTCTCGCTGGAACCATTGCACCAGGAGGGGGATTCAATCTGAGCAAGAGCTGGACCTCCTCTGGATGAGGTCATGGAAGAAAACAGATTTGGACAAGGATCCTGGAGCTCTAGGAGAGGAGACAAAAAAGCAGGACAAGGTCAAGGCAAGCAGAGGATGAGGACTGCTGCAGTGAATACCACTCTGAAAATGATTGATTCTGCGTCTGCTAGCACCAGAGCACTCCTACATGATGTCAGGTAGATTACTTGAACTACAGGTGGCCACCGAGTGTTCTTTTTATGCTTGGTGTTCGGTTTGAGAGCCTGGGGTCTGATTTGTGGAAGTAGTTAGCATTCACAGCTGCAACTGAAGTCAAAGGGAGCTATGCTTCAAACATACAAAGTACTGCATCATGATAACTATTTCACTAAGGCAAACCCCAGTCATCTCAAGGCTGGCAACCAAAATTAATTGATGTATTTAACCTTAATCTCTCTGTGTCTCATTTCCAAATAAGTAAAATGGTGATCTTTGCTGCATCTCATGAACGTAATTTATAAGCATTTATCATATGTTCAAGGTACTGTAACAGTGAATACTGTAGAAAAGCCTGCTACGATGTTAATAATTCCACATTACAAGCAGGATTTAAATAGCTTTAAACAAAGCCTGAGAACATATGCTGAACAAAGAGATTAAACATAAACTGAAAGGCTGCACATTCAGTGAACACTGTCTGTCCCATGCACTGTACGAGACAGTGGTCCCCTGAGCAAAACAATATCATCACACAATTAAAGGCTAAATTGTAAGTCATACCCTCTACAAGTCAAAACAAGTTTGTCTGAAAACTCTTACCTTTGGCTTATCCTGAAGTGTCAATATTTGGCTTTTATGCAATAATATTCCTTTAAGGGGGGGCTTGTGTTTTGGATTCTTTGGGTTTATTTGTGTGAATGGGAATGTAACAAGTTAAGGATGTATATATGTTTTAATTCCTTTATGCTGTGTGTGTTTTTGTTAAAGCAGATGAGTAACAGAGGAATTAAAAATAGGAAAACAGTTGCACTTTATCAAGCTATAGCACAAAGTAAATAGTATTTATTTTCCTGTGCCCTAGCTAGGCATTCTAACACATCACACATAGGTGTGATAGTTCATATATGTGAAAGTAAATAATTTTACACCTAATTTATACATTTAAATAGATGTTTTAAAAAAAATATTTGTATTCTTCCTCCTAAGAGATTTTTTTAATCCGTTGATGCTTAGAAATATGGTAAAAACTCTCAACAGTACAGTCTTCCCACTTAAATTTTACTCCATTGATTGGTCTCTTTTTCTGTCTTTTTTTTTTTTAATCTCTTCCTAGAGATCAAAGACATTCTTTGCAACGAGAAGAATAAAGATTTATTGATTCGCCTCACAGGTGTTATCTGTCTTCTCCTCAAAGCACCCATTTTTCTCAAACATTCAGTGTAAGCGCTTACCTATTTCTCATCTGCAACAGCAATTAGCACTATTAACAAAATCCGCAGTGTTGTCATCCAAACAAGACAGTAGATATGGAAGTATTCAAAAGAATATAAAACATGAAAACATCCATGGAAGCAGTGCATGTTAAGTAAGCCTCTAATACTTCCTAAGTGTTTCAAAGCAACATTCAGGAGAATTAAGAAGTGGTAGTTAACCCGTGCAGTTAGAGTTATGACTTTATCTGGTGAAAGGTGTTGGCCACTTCTGTTTTAAATGAACTGTAGTCCTAAAGATTTTGCCCAAATTGGGACTTATTTTTTGTATTCTGTTACTTTCCTCTTTTTCAGAAATGGAGTGTCATAACTAGCTTTACCTTTGCTACAGGTTTTGTGTAAGATTGTGAAGTATCTGTGGATTGATGTTGTAGAACTGTGTAACTAAAACCAGGAGATTTCTCTCCAAACTAAGGTCTGCTCTTTCAGGCCAAATGTGGGTGGGTATTTTTCAAAAAGGAATACTCTGGGAATGGTTATTTATTGATAGATTCTGTCTTTGTGATCTTATCCACACCAGCAAGATTAATTTCCATATTTCAGCAGATGCCCTTTGCTGCTAGTTGCCAATAAAAAAACTGAAGTCAGTAGTGTAGGTAAGATCTAGGCATTTACCCAAGCCTTTCAGGGCAAGTGGCAAAAACATCTGAATGCAGTCTCCTGAGCAAAATTTCCAGCTCCAAGTGTACAAAGATTATGAGTCAGGCCCCCTAGATCAGAATACATTTTTTAAGCCTAAAAAGGAAAAGCCTGATTGTTTTTTAATTTCTGACCTGGGTTGCACTTGGGTCATGATTTCCTACTTTTCTCCCAAAACACAGTGGACAGAACTTTGCTGTTGCTTAGAAATGAAGAGTCCCATGTGACCCCATGAGGAAGTTCTTGAGAAAGCCCCCCTACTTCCAGCCAGGTCCATAAACAAAACGGTGAACTAGCATTACCACCCCAAGATCTTCTCCCTCCACTGCTGTGCTGGCAATGCAGCTCCATGGGGGAATGAAATGTATTTCTACTTCAGACAATGCCCAAGAACAAGAACAGCTCCAAATAAGCCATCAGGACATACCAGGGACATATGTTGTATAAAGAGGATGAAGCTATTAAACAGCTCAGCGCTGAGTGAACACCATTCACCCGCCAGTCACAGGGTTGGAAGAACCTGTCTAGAAAAAATAGTATGACTGAGTAATTAGAGGCTGTATCATAAGCCATATGTGCAAGGGGGTCAAATTAAGGCTGCATGAGCAATCTTTTGTAATTTCTGTACTCGTCTAAAGCCTTGTCCCCAATAGACAACAGCTCCGCTTCAATCACCCCAGCAAAGCTGCAAGGAAAAGAGAGGTCCCGCTCTTCTCTCACGAACGATATCACACGACTGTAAAGGCAGCGGATCTTAACGCTGCGTTAGTCTTGTCTCCATCACTCTGATGTCATACCCCGGCGGGCCGAGGCAGGTGTGTGGGGCCGGGGCGGCGGCGGCACCCGCAGGGGTCGCTCGCGCGGAGGCCACGGGCGCATGGCGGGACCGGGGCCGGGGCGGGACCGCGGTGGGCGGGCGGTGGGGCCGAGGCGGGCGGGAGGCGGTGGGGCCGGGCGGCGCGCACAAGTCGGCCGCGAGTTGGAGGCGGCCGGCGGCGGAGTGCTGGCTGTAACTTGACACCGGGGCGAGAGGCCGAGTGGAGAGAGCGAGCGAGAGCAGCGGCGGAGGAGGAGGAGGAGAGGAGCCCCAGGGAGCGGGATGGTGACCACCTCCTTCCCCTCCCCTTAGGGGCGCTCCGCAGCAGCAGCAGCAGCAGCTGCAGCCACTGCAGCGCCGGCGACTCTCGCCTGCCGCGGAGCCGGCGATGGGGACGGGACGGGTCCCCTGAGCTGCCGGGAACTTTCCCCGCCGCGGGCAGCCGGAGCCGGGCAGGCGGATGGAGGATGCGCTTCCCCCGGCGGGCTGTGTGAGCCGGCAGCGGCGAAGGGGAGGATGAAGAAGAAGCAGCAGCACGGCGGCGGGGACTGCCCGGTGCCCCGGCCCCCCGTGGCGGCGGCGGCGGCGGCGGCGACGGGAGGGGGCCCGGGCCAGGGCGGGGGCTTGAAGAGGCGGCGGCCCCTCTCGCTGCTGCCCTTCCTCTCGCTGCGCGACTACGGCTTCTGCATGGCCGCCCTGCTGCTCTTCTGTTTGGGCTCCCTCTTCTACCAGCTCAACGGAGGCCCCCCGCACTTTCTGCTGGACCTGCGGCACTATCTGGGTAAGGGCAGCCGGCGGCGGGGACTTGTTGCGGCTCTTCCTCACCCCCCGTGGTGGCTGTGCCGGGGCCTCCTCCCGCGCCGGGGATGCGGCCGGGGGCAGCCGGGGACTGGAGCGGCGGGAGGCCGGGGCTTCCCGAGCGGGGCGGTGGGGTCTGACGCTGGAGCGGGACTGGCCGGCGGCGCCCCGAGAGCCGAGCGTGGGGGCGTGCCCTCCCAGAAGTTCATGCTGGCGAGAGCAGAGTCCCCTCGGAACTTTCTCACACCCGAGACTGCTCTGCGCCCCGGGGCGGCTCTTTGTCTGTCCAGTCCCAGTTGCAGAGCGCTCTGCCCCTCGCCGTCGGGTCGGTCCGAGGTGGCGGCGGCGGAGCGGAGGGCAGCGCACCGGGGCAGCTCGGGCGCAGCCGCCCGGAGCTGTCAGCGCCTCCCCGCCCGGCGCTGTGTCCTGAAGAGGAGAAAGGGGGTACAGGTGACCCTTAGCAGAAGATGCTGTTGTAGAAATCCAACCAACAAACAAATAAAAAAAATCCCAAAACCCAGACATACGCTTTGCATCCATCCTTGTGCAGCAGGTTTGCTTCTGGAGAGAAGGGTGTGCTAGCAGGGTCAGCGCAGCAGCGCTAGAACACTCGAGCTCGCTCTGGTGCTTTGCCACAGCCTGCGCAACCCCGAAGGAGGTGCCCCGGTGGAGCAGGTACAAGCCCGCACTGTGGCCTGTAGATCTCATCTTCATGCTGACCACAAGTTTTCCCGTGGTTTTTCTTTGTTTCGAATTTCTACGTCGCTAAATGTTGCTTCCATGCTTCGCATGGAAGAGAGAAGTTGGGTGAAACGGAGTGTATCGTGAAGTCATGTAAGTACCTCAGTCTGGCATGGCTATTGCAGATGGTGGTAGTACAAGGGGGAATGACTTTAGACTGAAAGAAGGTAGATTTAGTTTAGCTATTAAGAAGAAATTCTTCACTGTGAGAGTGGTGAGGCACTGGAACAGGTTACCCAGAAAAGCTGAGGATGTCCCATCCCTGGCAAGGTTCAAGGCCAGGTTGGATGGGGCTTTGAGCAACATGGTCTGGTGGAAGGTGTTCCCTGCCCATCACAGAGAGATTGGAACTAGATGGTATTTAAGGTCCCTTCACACATTAGCTACTCTGTTTTACTTGTCTGTGAACAAGTCTTTGGTGGTACATGCTGCAGAAGGACAAGCCGTAAGAAAAAGTGTTAGGTTGCAAACAAAAGTACAATTCTTGTATTGCAAAAAATAAGCTGAAAATCCTTTCCTATGTGTACATATTTTATGAACATCTTGAAAATACAGCTCTGTGTGTGTGTGTTGCTTTTCTTTACGGGAAAACTATCCCATGTCTTCAGTTAACTGTTGAGAGGGTATGGAGAGGCAGTAGGACAAGAGGCAACAGATAAAAGTTGCTGCAAGGGAGACTCCAATAAGATATTAGGAAAAAAAGTTTCAACGTGAAAGTAGCCAAACATTGTAACTGGCTACCCAGGGGGGTTGTAATATCCTTGCAGATACTCAGAACTCAGCTTTACAAGCCCCTGAGCGACCCAAGTCAATTTGTCACTGTTTTGTTGGGAGAATAGAACCAGGAGAACAGAGGTCACTTCCAGATCATGTTATTCTGTGATTCTGATGTAAAAAGTCAGTGAAAATTCAAGTGAAAACATGAGAAGAAGAAATGCTTTGAATATTACTTCACAAACACAGCAACAATTTTGGCTTGAGTTTTAACAACTTTATTTTCTTCCTTTAATGTTACAATTAGGAAGAAATTCCTGCACCAAAGAGGAAACTCACAAATTTTCCACCACAGAATCACAGAATTGCTAGGATTGGAAGAGACTTCTGGAGATCATCTAGTCCACCCTCCCCTCCCCAAGGCAGGGTCACCTAGAGCAGGTGCCACAGGGACTTCTCCAGGTGGGTTTTGAATGTCTCCAGAGGGAGACTCCATGACCTCCCTGGGCAGCCTGTTGCAGTGCTCTACAACCCTCGATGTAAAGAAGTTCTTCCTCATGTTGAGGTGGAACTTCTTGTGTTTTAGTTTATGGCCATTGCTCCCCATCCTGTCGCTGAGCACCACTTGACCCATCCTCTTGACACCTGCCCTTGAGATACTTATATGCATTCATGAGATCCCCTCTCAGTTTTCTCTTCTCCAGACTGAACAAGCCCAGCTTATGCTTCTCCCAAGGTAGAAGAAGATTTTGCTTACAATTGATTGAGTTTTTAGTGGGATGAAACATAGACTTCTGGTTTTCAGAGAAAAGTTTTTGTCAATTTTTAAAATTTTAATTTTCCTCAAGGATAAATTTTGCTTATCTTGCGTGGTAATAGACTGCAAGAAACATAGGGTTATTCAGCTTCTCACTTTGTGGCCTTTTGACTGCTTTTCAGGGATCCAGGAAGTAAAACTAGGATCTACTACCTTAACCCCTCCTAGGCAGTAGTTGCATGTCTGCTGGAAAATCTTCTGAGGCCTGCAGATGAAAGGCTTGGAAACCACTGTGTCTTGGAGAATGAGTCGTGATAATTTTTGTGAGGTGCTCAGCAAGTGCAGAAAAGCCTTTGTTGTGTATGCCTGAACGTGATGAGCCTCTAGGGAAGGAGTGCAGTCTTATTTGAAAATGGTTTGGGGTTCTTTTGAAGTGAAGGATTTTCTCAGGAGAAAGGAGACACATCTATTAATCTCTGTTAATGAATTTCTGTACTTGTTATATCAATTAGTATAGGAATTTCCTTTCTGTGCCTTGGTGACCTGGGATGTTAAGAAGACAGGGACTTGCCTAACATCCCGCACCAGGACAATGGCTGAGAGGGAAGCAGAGTCCTTGTGGTTGGAGTCCTAGTACCTGCTAAGCAAGCTGGGCTGCTGCCTCTGCAGACAAGTGGAACATACTCTGGGTAGTAAGGTGCCTGCTTGCATGCACCTTTCTAAATAAAGTTACTTTACACTTCCTTGGTCTGCAGTTTTACTTGGGTTGTCAGAGTTGATCCATGTAGGTGACACTGCTGAACATTTTATTTTTTTGTTTTTAAACTGAGTATAAGTCTTACAAGAGTGGTGCATACTCCTCAAGGTATCCAGTTGGGAAGGTTTGCAAATTCTGAACAATTTTTTTGTAATCAATAGGCTTGTTGTCTTCCAGGGAGCTAACAGAACTGCTTGGAGGGATAGGTATTGGACATCCAGTCCTGCTAACTACCAAAGCCCTACATGTGCATGTGTGTTTTATACAGCAGTTGGACTAGTCAAGTTTCATGACATTAAAAAAAATTAAACTTCTTTTTTCCCCTTCAAGCCACAGATCCAGTATACAAGCAATTCTTCCATTGAAGTCCTTCCAACCCACAGTTTATGCAGTTATAATTTAAATCTCCAAACAAAAAATGAGCAGTTAGTTTGCAAACCATGTTTGCAGTGTGGAAATTTCGCAGTCGCCCTCATTGTATTTAAATCTACAAGAACCAAGAAGGAGTAGCCTAAAGGGAATATTGATTTCTCTGTTTAACTACTTTGTAGCCTCCATAGCATGGGAAGGGGTCCTCTTGTCTGACTCTGGGGTTTTTATTTGCAAGTTTCAGTGCACTGCTCATGGTTAGTTATGTTATTGTGGAGGCAACGATTGGAATTTTTTTACCTCAGAACTTGAAAGGGATTCCTAAGTAACAACACAAAACTTCAATAGTGGTCGGGATAGAAATCACACCTGCATTAGGCAGCTGTGTGCATAAAAGAAAATCAAGATAGTGTGAAAACACTGGGCTTGAGAAACTTTCATTTTTTTCTTAGGGCTGCATCATATGCTGTGGAGGAGGTATAAGTTTATTTGAAAAGGAGTGAAGTGTGAAAGTTTTCTAGTTCTATGAACTTCCCTTTGGAGGGTGGGAAAATCAGTGTGTTTTCAGAATATTTAGACTATTAGTAAATTTTTTTTTCTCCCAGGCCAGCTTCTCTGGCATCTTATCAATGTGTCTCCCTTTTTGTTTGATTGCCGTACTGATTGAGGAGAATCTTGGAGAAACATTATGGCAGTTTGTAGGGGAGACAGTAGCTGTATTCAGTATTTCCAGTTTGCATTGCCATCTCTTTTATACCAGAGTCACCTGGAGAAAATGAGAATGGAGTAGTAGATACAAGGCTGTGCTTTGTTGTTTATCCTGTTTTGACTTCAAGCTTATAGTAGTTCAGAGTACAGAAAGGTCTGTGGAAAGCTAACGGTTTCTGCTGTCTGTTCTGGATGTGATTCACAACTACACAGCTCAAGTTTCACGCTGTAGTCATCCCATCAGGAGGGATCTAGAGCCCTGCTTTTCAGCATGAAATTGGTGGGGGCATGGACATTAGTGGGTTATTTCTAAAGAATCTGTGGAAGATACTTAAAAGCACATCTGTTGTCAGTAGATACTTAAAAGCACATCTGTTGTCAGTAGGCTTAAATTTGCTGTATGGGGGTGCATACCAGTCCTGGACCATCCGTGAGCTCCAAAAACCAGGAAAGTTTAAAAACTGCCAGGCTTTCTTTCCAGTAATAAACTGCAGTATTGGGATTTGCACAAATGAGGTCTTGCTTTTTGATTCTGCCAAGGTAATCCTGGCTCGCTGATCGAAAACCAACTCCAACAGTGAGAGGAAGTGAGAAGAGTCTTCCCTTAGATAAGTAAGACAGAAATAAATCTTGGACAGCCGGGTGGCTTTTGGGGAATGCACTAGGGACTCCATTCCCATGCAACTGTGGTGGTTTTGCATTGCTTTATTCTCTGCTGTGACTTATGATATATACATGCTTCAAATTACAGAAATGGGAATTTTCAAGGGGTGGTAGCAGCCTTTTAATAGCCAACAAAAAAATGAAATCTTTTGATCTTCAGTATTAGCTGTGCAAACTCATTGTTCATTGTCAATTAAAACATTTCCCCTGTTGAACTCCCCAGGAGCCTGCCAGCAAGTACACTGGTTTGATTGCATGTGAAAGTTGCCAGTGC